AAAGCTTTATTCCGGAGGGGCTCAGTCCTTCTTGGCAGCTGCCTTCCTCATGGCGGCCAGTACATTGCTCAGCTCCTCACGCTTCCTCTTGGTGCGGATGTGCGTCCCCACCCTTTTCTTGAATTTGAGGGCGCGCTTGTCCTTGGAGACCTTGAGCAGCTCCATGGCGCGCCGCTCATAGAGGGCAAAGCCGCACACCTCCCCTCCCGGATCATGTCCCGAACGAATTTGGTGTGTTTGGTGAGACGTCCGCGGCGGCGGCTGTGCCTCGGTTTGCTCACATTCTTAGTCACCTTGTGGCCCTTGTTGAGGCCCACGGCCATGGGGTAGCGGAGGGCCATGGCTACTCTTTTTCAATGGTTGCTGTGGCGGAAGCGGGTAGTTCTAATTTGAATGTTATGTTCCCACCCACTTGAGCCAACAGTGATTATACAGTACTTATTGGGCAGGTAAGGTACCATTGTGGTTTAAGTGGGCAGGAGCAGGTTAATACAGGGTCTCACTCGGTTGTGTTGGCTGGCCTCAAAGTCCAAATCATCCTGCTTCAGCCTCCAATAACTTTTTTTTTTAATTTTATTTATTTATTTTGTGTGGCCAGCTCAGCCCACCGGGGGCAGGGCTGGCTGGCATGTGGTGCTGGTGGATTGAACCTCGGTCCCTGTGCTTTGCTAAGCTTGTTCTAAGTAGGTGCTTTAGACCACTGAGCCATCTCACCAGCCCCTCCAATAACTCTTTAAGGTGTGTGCTACCATACTTGCCACCAGAAGCTCTTATTTTTGTTTCTTTTGGAGATCAAGTCATTGTGGTTCAGGTTGGCTTTAGCTCACTACACTCCTATTACAGCCTCCCAAGTGCTGGGATCACAGGCTTCACAGGCATGTGCCACCACACCTGGCCTTTATTTTAAACAGTGCTAGCTAGAGAGCCCATTGGCATAAGTGCTTGCCTGGCAAGCACAAGGTCCTGAGTTCAATCCCTCCCCCTGCCCCCTTCAAAAATATGTAGGTGAACAGTGCAGAAAGTTTTAACTGAAAGGTGAGGGACTATCCAGGTGTGATGGTGCACAATGGCTGAGGCATAAGGATTGCTAGGAGTTGGAGAACAGCTTGGATTACAAAAAAGGAAGTTCAAGACCAACCTGTACTACATAGACCCAGTCTTTAAAAAAAAAAAAAGAAAAGAAAAGAAAAGAAAAAAACATATAAGTTCTGGGTGTCAAATTTGAAAGTGAATCTCATGGAATTGGCTGCTGCTGGAATCTCTAGGGAAGACTTCAGTTTACAGAGGCTGTCCAACATTCCTGTACTTGCTCAGTTATGTGCCTGATTCTGATCCTTGGCTACCTTCTGAATTCTTGTGATTAATTTCAATGGGACTACTTGATAATCAGAATTGGCTTCCCATCCCTGGATCCTTTATATCTATATGACCCTCTTGTGATGACACACATTCACAGTTCAGGGGATTAGAACATGGGCATCGTCAGTGTCTTCCTGTTTATTACCTTGCTCTCCAGTTGTCTTAGGAGATCTGAGGTCCTTACATGGTAAAGGACTGCTTATGACCTCTGGATCAGGTGAATGCTGAAAGAGTGTTTTCTAATAATAAAAACAAAGTTTTTTTCACTCAAAAGTGCATTCTACCCCACTTATAAGATACTGATAAAATACCTGCAAATTAACTTATGTGGGTTCATTGTTCCAAATCAGGATTCTCATATGACTTGCTAGTTTTAATGTTATGTTAAAACATCTCTATAGGTGAGGTAACTTACAACTATTATGGATTATTGATTGGGTCTAATAGATTGAAGGCATATATTGATTAGGTGTATAAAAATTCATAGGCCAAGCTGGGGATGGCCTGTAATTATGTGACACCTGTAATACCAGCTACTCAGGCTGCAATAGGATCCCAAGTTCAAGGTTAGTCTCAGCAATTTAGCAAGACCTTGTCTGAAAACAGTTCAGTGTTCAAGTGCACCCAGGTTTAATCCCTTGTACTGAAAAATACATGAAAATGCAGTATAAAACTATAAAAAGTCCCTCTTATAAGGTGACTAGGAAACAAATGTAAATTAGGGCTATTAGCACAGAAAGAAAGCAGAGCAATACCTTTGTTTCTGCTTTTGCCACCAAATCTTTTTTTCTTAGAGGGTTTCACTATCTAGGCGGCCTAGAACTTCAGGTGATCTTTCTTCCTCTGCCTACCCTGGAGTCAGGTGTGTACCACCATATGCAACTTTTCAGCCATTACATGTTGCATGCCAGACCTCTGCGAGGAGTGAAGTGAATGTGGAGATTTTAAAAATAAACAAGTTAGACAAGGAGAAGCTGTGAATCTTGTAATTGAAAAGCCAGTAGAATGTAATAAATTACTGCAAAGCCCTGATCCTGGACCAACAAGACCTAATGTAATCGTATTTGTTTTTTTTTTTTTTTTTTTTTTTTTTTTTTGCGGGGCCAGGGATTGAACTCAGATCCTTGCGCTTGCCAGGGAAGCACTTATTCCACTGAGCCATCTCCCTGGCCCCTATTTATGTTTTTTTTTTTTTAAGACCTAATGTAATTGTAGAGCAAGATTTTTGTTTTTGAGATCATTATTGATAATTTTACATAGATCTGACTTTTTGTTATTTCCTATAAAACAACAGTGCTATAAGGCAAATGTTCCAATTCCACAAAAAAGGAAAAACGAGAACTGAAAAAAATACTATCCTACAAACTCATAAGAGAAAAAATTAGGATATGTAAACCCAAAGTTAATAAGTGGTTGAGCCAAATTAGGAATCCTAGTTGGATAACCTTTCAAATAGGTAAGCATCACCCAGGCAGATGAGTGACTTGAGGGGATGGGAGGAAGAGTGCTGTGGGCAAAATCGCAGGCACAGAGGTGTAGTCAAGGGGAACATACAGAAGGGTTATTTAGCTGGCTGCACCAAGGGGAATGGCAGCAGCATGCTTTCAAATACCAGTAGATCTGACTGGTTTTAGCACTAAAGGCAATTTATTGATTCATCTAACTGAAGAATTGAGTGAGCAGTCTCATCAACTTACAATAATGTAACCCAAGTCAGCTCCTTAGTTCTGCCAGTGGCTGGTAGCAGCTTCTAGTGTGACATATTTAACATTCAGCAGGTGAGTGCTGTCCAGCATTGTGGTCCTGAGGTTCATTTTTCACCAGGCCAGCTTGGGTCTTTAGGCCTTCAATCACTACACCTAGAAAAATGGGTAATCACATCTCCTGTCTTGGTCCTCAACTAAACATCTTCTGGTGCCAGCGACATCATCACTTTGAGTCTGAGAAGTGACATCAGTAACCACAGCTACATCTCTAGCGCTTA